CTCATTCTATGAGGCCAGCATCACCATGATACCAAAACCAGACAAAGATACAACAAAAAAAGAAAACTATGGGCCAATATCTCTGACGAAAATAGATGCAAAAATCCTCAATAAAATATTATCAAGCAGAATACAGCAACACATCAAAAAAATTATACACTACAATCAAGTTGGATTCATCCCAGTGATGCAAAGATGGTTCAACATATGCAAATCAATAAATGTGGTATACCACCTCAACAAAATCAAGGACAAAAATCGTATGATGATCTCAATAGATACAGAAAAAGCACTTGACAAAATCCAACATCCTTTCATGATAAAGACTTTCAGCAAAGTAGGAATAGAAGGAAAGTACCTCAATACAGTAAAAGCCATATACAACAAACCCACTGCCAATATCATCCTGAATGGGGAAAAGCTGAAAGCTTTTCACTTAATAACAGGAATAAGATAAGAATGCCTGCTCTCACCACTCCTATTTAACATAGTATTGGAGGTACTAACCAGAGCAATCAGGCAAGAGAAAGAAATAAAGTGCATCCAGATTGGAAAAGATGAAGTTAAATTCTTCCTATCTGCAGATGACATGATCCTATATACAGAAAAACCTAATGACTCTACAAAAAAACCTCTTAGAGTTGATAAATGATTTCAGTAAAGTTGCAGGATACAAAATCAACATGCAAAAATCAGTAGCATTGTTTTTATACTCCAACAACAAACCAGCAGAAAAAGAAATCAAGAAAACTAGCCCATTTATAATAGTCACAAAAAAAAAAAAAAATTACCTAGGAATAAACTTCACCAAGGAAGTGAAAGGTCTCTACAATGAAAACTGTAAATCACTGTTGAAGGAAATTAAAGAGGACACAAAAAGATGGTAAGACATTCCACACTCTTGGATTGAAAGAATTAACATTGTGAAAATGTTCATACTACCCAAAACGATCTACAGATTCAATGCAATCCCATCAAAATACCAATGACATTCTTCACAGAAACAGAAAAAACAATCCTAACATTCATATGGATCAAAAAAAGACCCCAAATAACATTCATATGGATCAAAAAAAGACCCCAAATAGCCAAAGCAATCCTGAGCCAAAAAAATAAAGTCAGAGGCATAATACTACCTGACTTCAAAGCTATAGTAACCAAAACAGCATGTTACTGGCATAAAAATAGACACTCGGGCCAGTGGAACAGAATAGAGAAACCAGAAATCAACCCACAGATTTATAGCCAACTGATATTTGACAAAGGCAACAAAAATATACATTGGAGAAAAGACTGATTCTTCAATAAGTGCTGCTGGGAAAATTGAATATCCATATACAAAAGAATGAAATGAGACTTGTACCTCTCACCATATACCAAAATCAGTTTAAAAGGCATTAAAGGCTTAAGTATAAGACCTGGAACTAAAACTACTAAGAGAAATTATAGGGGAAACACTTGAGGAACAAGAACTAGGCACAGACTTTATGAACAAGAGCCAAAAAGCACAAGTAACAAAAGAAAAAATAAATGGGACTATATCAAATTAAAAAGCTTCTGCACAGCAAAGGAAATAATCAACAGAGTGAAAAGACAACCTATAGAATTGGAGAAAATATCTGCAAACTATATATCTGACAAGTGATTAATATCCAGAATATACAAGGAACTCAAGCAACTACACAGCAAAAAACCGAATAACTCTATTAAAAAATGGGCAAAGGAGCTGAACAGACATTTTTCTAAGGAAGACATACAAATGGCCAATAGACACTTAAAAAAAAAGAGCTCAACATCACTAATTATAAGGGAAATGCAAGTTAAAACTGCATTGAGATATCAATTCACCCCAGTTAAACTGGCTATAATCAAAAAGATAGTCACAAATGCTGATGAGGATGTGGAGAGAAGGGAAAGCTCCTACACTGTTGGTGGGACTGTAAATTAGTACAACCATTATGGAAAACAGTATGGAGGTTTCTTAAACAACTACAGATAGATCTACCATACGATCCAGCACTCCCACTTCTAAGTATATACCCAAAGGAATGGAAGTCATCATGTCAAAGAGATACCTGCACTCCCATGTTCATCGCAGCTTTATTACAATAGCCAAGATATGGATCCAACCTAAATATCCATTGATGGACGACTAGGTAAGGAAAATGTGGTAATATGTACACCATCGAATACTACTACACCACAGAAAACTACTCCGTCATAAAAAAGAATGAAATTCTGACATTTGCAGCAACATGCATGGGCTCAGAGAAAATTATGCTGAATGACATAAGCTAGGCACAGAGGAGAAAATACCTCATGTCCTCACTCACAAGTGGGAGCTAAGAGAGAAAGGAAGGAAGGAAAGACCGCAGTGGTGTGCTGGCCTTGCAGAGGGTGAGAGCATAACTAGGGTTGTGGGGGGTGGGGCGGAAGACATGGGGAATAGTAATAGTTGCAATTTGTGGTAATGGGCATGCTAATAGTATTGATCTGGCTATAACATCTTGGGCACAGGTGGTGATGGTCAGCTTTGTACCCCATGAATATGCATAATCAATTATAAAATAAAAAATAAAAAAATAAAAAAGAATGTGAATTGTCCTGGCTGAGCACAGAATTTGGGACGCAACATGGCAAATGTTCAAATAGTAACTTTTTTTTTTTCATTGAAACATAATTGTTTGTATATATCTGTGGGGTACAGCATTGAATATCAATACCTGTAGGCAGTATGTGATGCTCAAATCAGGATAATTAGTATATTCAACATTACACAATGTAATCATTTTTGTAGTCCTTTACCAATTTCTCACTCTCTCCCTCCCCCTTCCCACTTCTGGTGACTTGAGTTCTGTTCTCTCCTTTGAAAGTTCAGCGAATTACTGAGATTGTTGTATCTCTCTTTCCTTCTTTCTTCATTTTTTAGCCCCCACTTATGAGTAATGACATGGTATTTTTATTTCTCTGCCTGTTGCATTTCACTTAACATAATTTTCTGGAAGTTCATCCATGTTACTGGGATCAAACAGTAACTTTTAATATTAATAAGAATTGAGGGAAGAAAGGCAGAAGAAAAGAGATAGTTAAGAAAAGGGTTAAGAGGTTCAGATAAAAGGGAGAATGGCAGAACAACTTCCTTGAAAGAGTTTAATGTCGTAGACTTGTTTATTGACTATTCATAAGATCTCCTTAATTTCATGATATGGGGTATTTGTGAGTACTGAATATGAATAGTTAAGCTGAGAGTGTAATGAACAAGAACAAAGCACTTTTTAAATGTAAGCCTAGCCAGGATAATTAAGGTAAGCCTAGTTGATTGCCTAATAGTTCTTCATTTATTATCATCTTACATCCTTGAAGAGTCTCAATTCTCATTTTTGCTTTTTAAAGGGGAGATTATAAACTTTAGTGGTATTTGTAAATTTAAGAATTCTCTTTGCCTCCCTTATAAATACGAAGAGGCTGGTATACCTTAATCATTTAAATTCGGCTGAGAAATCTGAAAGGGGATCTGTAACAACCCGTTTTATGTAGTTGGTATCCAGAAATTCACACAATTAGAACTAATTTTAGCAGAGCCTGAAAAGAGGAAGAATACCGTGATGAAGAGAAGGGAAATGCCCGGGACATAAGAACACATTTCTTACTTTCTGCTTATGATTACAGGCAATAAAGAATTAATTTTGAAATCTCTGGGGAATGCTATGGTTTCCCATAAATAGTTCTGAAACACAGGCTGCTTCAAAGATAGTAAAATTTCTGTTCATAGATAATTCACAAATAATTTCACCTTATATTCCCCTTTTAAGGGACATCCCTGGGAAGATACTGCTTAATGACACTCCACATTAATATGAGAAAAATAATTTTAATTTCATTCTACTCAACAGAAGAAAGAGAAAATGAAATAAATAAAAATAAAAAAAATAAATTTTAAAAAAGGAGAAAGAAGAAAGGGTAGGAGAACTAAATTTATTTTATAAATTGATTAGTCATTCTGCACAATGAATAATCTGGAGTCTATTTTATTGCAACCAACTCTTGTCTGTTCATGGAAGAAAGAGCAGGAAGAGTACAAATAAATGCATATCCTTTAGAAAGCTGTATTTCTTAAATTGCATCAAAAGCCACTAGCTGACAGGTGGCAACAACATTCATTAGTTTTCAGTCTAATCACTAATGCAGAAACTCTTAACTTCTGGGAGTATAATGCCCTTACAATTTTTTTTAAGTCAAAAAGGAATTTTTAGAACACTCAATAATAACGGTTGCACTTTTAATTTCTGTTGTCTGAGAAAAAAACAAAAAAGACACTTTTGACTTCAGTTGTATTTGAAAATGTTTGTTTTTTTTTTTTACTAATGTCAAAAGCAACCATTATACATTAAAAAAGTAGTGATGCACATAGGTGCATTGTTTACTAAGTCTACTGACAATATTTGCTGTGTTGAGGATTACAGACTATCTATAACTGCAGATTTCTCTGCTTTAAAAGTTATTTACAGGATACAATGTTCCAATGGTGATACTAATAACGAACAAGAGGAAAATTATCTAGCACACTGAAAATTCAACACTGGATAACAACTTAGAATGGGGACTTCTCAAGGGTGAAGAATGAATCTTACCTGATATATATTAGACAATAAACAAGCTCAATTCTTGAAATTCTGATTTACTCTTAACTAGTACTTAGACTTGAGTCTAAGTTCAGCGAATTACTGAGATTGTTGTATCTCAGAGTGTGGCTCAAGTGTAACAGATAGGTTTAAATGTCAAATCTGACACTAGAGATAAGAAAATTATTCCAGTTAAGGAACACAGACTTTGGCACCAAATAATTATGTCTTTTCCATTCTTGTTTGAAATGGATGCCATTTGCATGACCTCTGAGTATGAGGTGATAATATACTAAGGTGGTAATATATTAATTTTCAATAACTTTTCTTTCTGAAAAATACAAAGAAACAACAAAATGATATTAAAAATTGACTCACCACTGTCCTCTGTTTGTTGGGCAGGAAGACTCTAACAATAGGTTTTTGTGGTGACTTGGGGTTGCTCCGTGACACATCTGTGGGATTTTGAAAAACTGAAAGAGATGAAGGTAGCACTGAAAGGCTAGAAGAAGAAGATGATGTAACGGTGTCTGCTGATGCAGAGCTAGAAACAGAAAAAACAGTTCCGTTCCCCAGGGATTCCAATAACTGTTGCTCTCTTTGTTGGAGGGTATCTAGCTTGCTGGTGTATTCTTCATAGGCCTATAAAACAAAATAGACTTACATTGAGTATTGGACTTTGTTCTGACAGTAACAAAAGGAAAAATGAAATTTCAGTCTTTGATTATATTCTCTTCATAATCTAGCTAACAGGGTTTTCAGTTACAAGTTTTAAAAAAAGTGCTGGAAATACTCTAAATAAATACTTTTCATCTTTAAGGTGATAGATAATGTTATAAGATATATACTACAATACACTAGAAAACTTGACCTATGTAAGTGTGATGTATGTATGGTCCATGGATATTAATTTAAAAAGCACAGTATTTCTAATTTTCTGGTCAAATTGTAATTTACCTCCCAAATCGCATGTCTAACCTAAGATAAAATACTACAATTCCTCAAGGATAGGTGTCCCCCTCCCATTAAAAAATTTCTTTTCCAGAAAAGTAGTAGGTACATAAAGTTTCATACTACACACACACTCTTAAAGAACATAAAAAGAAGCTGAAAAGGAGATGAGGTTTTAAGACATTTGTCAGAAAACAAGACTCAGGAACACAGTGCCAGATCTCACCATTAGCAACGAAGACCTCCTCAATAGGGCTTAGAAGATATGTAATTGCCGCCTTTTTTCTGAAAGAGCTATCAGCTAAAATACTTTCTTCTTTTTTTTGTTTATTTTTATCTTTTTGCTTTTTTCTTTAATTTTTAAAAATATTTTTTAATTACTTTATTCTTTTCACTATGGATATTTGATGACCTCCTTCCCCATCAAATACTGCTTAGAAAATAAGAATTGTATTTCAAAATGTGGATTACACCCTGCTGTCAAATTATGGGGCCACTATCCAACAGAGTAACTTCCTAGAAGTTTCACTTGACTAAGGCTATAAAGTCATATGACCATATAAGATATTGAATTCTAAAAAAAAAGAATGATACTAAAAATAAAGAGATTGAATGAATAGCAATATATATGTCCATAGTTCGTGCAGGCAGTGGTAATCCCCTTGCTCACACTACAGTCCATTATTTCTCCCTACTATCCTAAATAAACACAATACCACAAACATTTACAAAAGGGTACAAGAGAGAACAAAATATTTTCAAATAGCATTTCCCATGTCTCAAGGAGTTTATTATTGGGCTGTGGGTAAGCAGATGGATACATTTTTATTTGTGTAAGTGCTGTACATGAGAAATAAAGAACATTCTTAATACAAGGTGAGAATAATCAAGGAAGGGGGCCTTGAAAGATTGGCACTTAGATAGATGGAGGAAGTAGGAAGGAGAGAATCTTGTGTACAGGAGAAATTCCATAACAAAATAAGGAAGTGGGAAAGTTTAAGACATAGAGGAAAAACTATAGGCTGGTATAGGTAAATGTCATAAAATATTTAGGACATAGCAAGAGATCAATATATGTCTGAAATTTAAATGAGAAAAACAGGCACACAGGGAAACAATAATAAGACTGGAAAAGTAGGTAAGGGACTAGATTGTAGCAAGTGTATATGCCATGCTATAAAGTCTAAACTTCAATCAAAGGCAGAGGAGAATGAAAGAGAAATTTCATTTCAATAAAGGCCACAGCATCCTGGTATGCTAGATTTTACCACATAAAAAGGGAAAAAAGGGCTGCTTGAGTAAAATGAGCTATTGAAAAAAGGGTTGTGGGGATAAAATGAGCTACTGAGGTAAGGGGCCTAAACTGCCTCAAAAATCTCCTTTTCAACCTGCTAGTTGTCTTACCCTGACCGTAGATTGTTTCACAGCAGACCAGGGCATTATATACAAATCAATTCAAAATTTTCTGAGCTGTAATTTGAAGGCTGTTTAGCTTTCAGTTCCAAGGGCTAGTTACTTAAGGGTATCTCTCTCAATATGATCCATTTATTGAGACTTCAATCATTCAATAAGTACACACTGAGTGTACATATGCCTGCACAGTTTAGGGCTCAAACTTCAAAAATGAATAAGATCGGGCCGGCCCGGTGGCGCACTGGAGAGTGCGCCGCTTGGGAGCACGGCGGCGCTCCCGCCGAGGGTTCGGATCCCATGTGGAGACCAGTTCCCGCTCACTGGCTGAGCGCGGTGCGGGCACAACACTGAGGGTTGCGATCCCGTTGCCGGTCCCCGGTACAGGCGCGACACCGAGGGTTGCGATCCCGTTACCGGTCAGTATAAAAGACAAAAAAGGAAAAAAAAAAAAAAAAAGAATAAGATCAACACAATTCTTGCCCCTTGAAGATTATATACATGCAGTCTGGGAGACAAAGGTTCCTCCTTGCACAGATCAAATATTCTTACTTACTGGTATTTGGGCAAATACACTGACTACACAAAATTAACCTTGAGAAAAGTAATGAGCAGAAACAATTAATTTTCTGAATGTTATTTCCTCATCAAAATGTTAGCCATAATTTTTGAAAATATACTAATCCCTCCATTATGGATTACAAACTATTATTTTACCACATTTATCAACAGCTCTTTTTTTGTTGTTAGATACCAAATATCTACTTGTTCCACCTTTCTCCATCCTCATAGTTACAATCTACCAAGGTGTTCAGCTCATTTCACCCCATTACTCTTGCATTCAGTGTGAAATTTGATTACTCTTTTAACACTCCTGCCTTAGAGTTTCTTATCTCTAACGGCATTTATTTCTATCCTATCTTCAAAACCCAGAGACACAAACCAGTCTTTACAAGAGAGATCCAAATGATGACAAGATCTCAATTTGGAACCTCCCACACCCGTGTGCACACATTTATCCCACCGTCTTAAATTTCCATTTCACTACCACATTAGCCTGGTCAAGGTAACATTAATCCCTCAAACAATTTCTCAGATTTGGACCACTGCTGTCTTCCTTCCCATAATTTGTGGCTCACTATCTCAACAATGCCATTGGTAACATCTTAGATTCTCTGGTAATTCTTATTCTTTCATCAACTAGCTTGCCAGATACCAATTCTGGGTAAATCCTACCATTCAATTATTCCATTTTTTTCCCCCTCAGGTTACCACACATTGCTGGAGAAAATGATAAAACTAGGCCAATTAGTTCCATTATCAATTTATGGAACTTAGATTCGCCTGGTACTTCACACTACTGCTTGAAAATTTTTACTTATTTTTAACATATCATGTTCTTCACAATTCTTATTCTAACCTTTCCTTTAATTCACTCTGAAAATAACACGACTTTCAAATTTACTCTGAAAATCAGTCATCAAGTGAAAGCTTCCTTTACTTCTTTCTTTATCTAAACAATTCTCCACATTTTTTCCCATCCCTCTTTTACTCTCAATTTAGTGCTAGCATTGGGTATTTGGGGACTCTTCTGCGGTGGCCTTGGTCCATCATTTTCCCCATCTTCTCTTACATCTTCCAACTTTCCCTCTACAAATGTAAGCAGGTCACTCCCACATAAACACACATCTCAATCACCATCACCACCACCACCACTACCAACAACAACAACAAAATTCCTTTGGTTCTTCAGGATGTTGCAGGTACCAGATACTTCTTCAGGAGCCAACTTTTCAATAACCCCATTCCTTTTTGTCGAAACCCTACTATTTTTCAAAGTCCAATTCTAAGCCTTCTTTAATAAGATCCAAAAGAAGTATTCTTTATTTCCTCCAAAGCACTTATCATACTCTTCTGTATATTGCTAATTTTTCTCATCTCTGAAATAATTTTTTAAGGATTAAATGAGATAATACAAAAACAACAAATTGTTATAGAGACTACCACATAGCAAAAATCCAATAAATATTCTTATTAGCATTAATTAGTAGTCGTAAAAGAACTACTACCAGTAACTCTTGTTGTGGTTATTATTTTTATTACTATATCACTTAAATGAGTTCTTGACGTGACTCTACTAAACTATAAGTGAGCTGAGGGCACAGATCATGTCTTATTTATTTTTTAATTTAAAAAAAGAATCTAAGAAGACTTAATATCATTAAGATAACAACACTCCCCCAAGTTAATCTACATATTCAATGCAATCCTTCTCAAAATCCCAGTTGGCTTTTTTTTTTTTTTTACAGAAACTGACAAGTTGATCTTAAAATTCATATGGAAATGCAAAAGACTCAGAATAACCAAAACGATCTTGAAAAAGAAGAACAAAGTTAGAGGTCTCATACTTCCTGATTTCAAAACTTACTAGAAAGCTACAGTAATCGAGACGGTATGGTATCAGAATAAGAATACATATATAGAACAACAGAAATGAGAGCTCAGGAATAACACCTTACATTATGGTCAATTGACTTTCAGTAACAATGCCAGAATTCAATGGAGAAAGAATGGTCTTTTCAACAAATGATGCAGCTGAATACCCACATGCAGAAGAATGAAGTCGGACTATTGCCTAACACCATATTCAAAAATTAACTCAAAGTGAATCATACGCCTAAAAGTAAGAGCAAAAACTCTTGAGCTATTAGAAGAGCTCTTACAAGAAAATAGGAGTAAATCATCCTGACCCTGGATTGGATAGTGGTTTCTTACGTATGACACACCAAAAAAAAAAGTGCGCAGTAACCAAAGAAAAAATAAATTGGACTTCCATCAAAATTAAAACTTTCGTGATTCCAAAGACGTTATATCAAAAGAATGAAAAAAAAATACCACAGAAGAGGAGAAATATTTGCAAATCATGTCTGAACATCTACTACCCAGAATATATGAAAAACTCTTACAACTCAATAATAAAAAGACAAATAAACCCAGTTTTTAAAATGGGCAAAGGATCTGAATAGATATTTCTCCAAGGAAGATATAAGGATGGCTAGTAAATACATAAAAAAGATGCTCAATATTATTAGTCATTAGGGAATTACAAACCAAAACCAAAATGAGATTCCAATTCACACCTACTGGGATGGCTATAATTAAAAAACAAAACAATACAGAAGATGGCAAGTGCTGGTGAGTACGTAGAGAAACTGGAACCCTCGCACGAAAACGGTCTGACAGTTCCTCAAAATGCAAATTAGAGTCACCAAAGGACCAAG